GTTGGCATTGTTGCGCAAGTGCAAACAAGTGATTATATAAATTTCGGCAACTCTTCAGCATATATCTGTGAGTGCAAGATTTGTACATATGTTAGCGTCATTTTGAGACGTGTCGCTCAGCAAAAAAACATGGTCACCTTCCCTCCGCATGCTTAGCATAACGTCGATTTCCAGGTACATGGGATCTGACGAATTTTTTATCTAATGTGTTATAATGAAGCTCTGAAGCTAAACTTGGGAAGTAGGGACGACCTCATATCCCGCGCGCACAGGCTAGGCAGATTCGTAGTTGGCAAATATCGACCAGTGATCGTAAAATTTGCTTCTTTTAAGTTCCGAGAAAGCATACTGCAGTCTAGAAGTAGTTTTCGCGAGTCTTATGTGTCAATCAGCGAGGATTTCTGCCGCGCAACAAGAAGCGTGCGCAAGAAGCTTTTTGAATTCGGCAAGGCGAGTGGCGAGAAGTATACCGTCAAGTACAATAAGCTTTACATCAACAAAAAGTGCTTTGTGTACTCTCCGGTGACCGACAGCGTTTGTGAGCCGCATACACATGCGCAGAACTCATCAGAAGCTTCGTCCTCCGCTACGCATGCCGACGAAGATACGCTCTTATCCTAACAAAGTTCACCCCTCGGCCACTTATCGTAACTACGAAGTTTTATATTCTAACGTACGAAGTTTTCTTAACAAACGGGATGCATTATCTTAAATTTTTGATGACTGCGCCGCCGATGTTGTAGTGTTAACGGAAACCTGGCTTAACCCTAACATTGCAAGTGTAGAGCTGTTCGATTGTGAAAATAATTATACCATTTACAGATGTGATAGAGAAGAATCGCCAGGAGGTGGTGTACTTATAGCCGTAGGTGATTATATAGTTTCTAGCCAAGTAGGAATAGCATCACCTTTAGAATTTGTCTCTGTTTCCCTCCATGTCAACTATCAAAATGTCATAATTTGTGGCTGTTACCGCCCTCCGAGTGCGATGCCAGTGTTTTGCGAGCAACTGCATGATGCTTTGAATGATATTGTCAAAAGGCACCCGCATACACCTGTTTTTCTTCTAGACGATTTTAACTACCCGAAAATAAACTGGTCACTTCCTTCTTGTTCATTAAACTCACTTTCAGCCGACAGTTTACATTTCGTGGAACTGTGCGAAGACTTTAACCTTACCCAACTCGTAACGCAGCCAACAAGAATGGGCCCCACTTCATCAAATGTTCTTGATCTGATTCTCACCACTGTACCAGACCTTGTCCATTCTATTTCATATATCCCAGGCATAAGTGACCATTGTTTCGTGCACTTCATTCTAACAGGTTCTTTAAGGCGTCGGTCAAACAATTGGAAAACAATAAGAGACTACTCACGCGGCGATTATGACTCAATCAACAGTGAACTCGAATCGAATTTTGAGAGCTTTACTAATGGCTTCTTTGATCGCAGCGTTCAACAAAACTGGAACTTGTTCAAAATGAAAGTTGAATCTTTAATCGCGCGATACATTCCCACATACGTTATCAAGGGTCGCCAACGCCATCCTTGGTTCTCAACTGACTTAAAAAAATTGCGGAATAAAAAGAAACGGTTGTTCCGTCAGGCAAAGCAGACTAATTCGTTAGCCCGTTGGCACGTGTACAAATCTGTCCTTTCCGAATACAGAGCAGCTATCAAGGAAGCCAAGCGCGTTTTTCTTAATGATACCCTTCCTTCAATTCTTGTAACCAACCCTTCTAAGTTTTGGAAAACTGTTAAACGTAGGGAAAAGATAAACATTTCGCTTACGAACTCAGATGGGCAGCCAGTTCGCTGTGAAGAGTGTTGCATTGCATTAAATGATTTTTTTGTTACTTCTTTTTCAAGTTGTTCTGCTTCTGCGTTGCCGCAAATGCCTAGTCGTGATTTTTTACCCATGTATCTTGTTACCGTTGATGCCGTTGGAGCGCAAAATTTAATTCACAAGCTTAAGTTATCCTCTTCTTGTGGCGTAGATGAAATCAACTCAAAGTTTCTAAAAAACACTGCATTGTATTCATCAATTTACTTGTCCTTAATCTTTTCGCAATCTATTCAGACCTCCACTTTGCCGCTTGACTGGAAGGTGGGGAAGGTGGTCCCTCTGCACAAATCTGGTAACACACAGTCTCCTCTCAATTACAGACCAATTTCCCTAACCAGTGTTCCTTGTAAAATGTTAGAACATATAATTTACTCCAACCTTGTCTCATTCCTAGAATCAAATTCTTTTTTTACTCCCTACCAGCACGGATTCCGAAAAAGTTACTCATGTGAAACCCAACTTCTTTATTTTACTAATGACATAGGATCGGCTTTAGATCGCGGCTCACTTGTGCATTGCATTTTTCTTGACTTTCAAAAAGCTTTCGATAAAGTACCTCACCAATTACTCCTCCTGAAAATTAGTGCCTTAAACATTGACCCGAACATTCTTAAATGGATTGAATGCTTTCTGACTAATCGCACTCAGTTTGTAACAACTAATGGCTATAGCTCACCTCTTTCTAAAGTAACATCTGGCGTACCCCAAGGTTCCGTATTAGGCCCTTTACTCTTTCTTATATATATTATAGATCTCCCAGACAGCATTAACTCCGCTATAAGGTTATTTGCAGATGATTGTGTAATTTACCGCGAAATAAACAATGAATATGATAACCAATTTCTACAGTCAGACCTTGACACTGTCTCAACCTGGTGCAATAAATGGCTTATGACTCTCAACTCTAACAAATCTAAATGCATGTCAATAACCCGGCGATCTATTTCTCCCCCCTGTACCTACAGAATTAACGCCGTTCCCCTCCAGCAGGTCTCTTCATATAAGTACCTCGGCGTTTACATTACCAACAATCTATCTTGGCACACGCATGTTACCTACATCTGTAATAACGCTAACCGAACGCTAGGATACTTACGCCGCAACTTTTCTCGCGCTCCGCTGTCCCTCAAAATTCTATTATACCGATCACTAATTCGCCCAAAGCTTGAGTACGCGTCCGCTATATGGGATCCCGTGCAGCAAAATTTAATTAACGCGTTAGAATATGTTCAGAACCGCTCAGTTCGGTTCATTTGTTCTAATTATTCCCGTACTGCTAGCATATCAGAAATGAAATCTAACCTTGACCTACCCAATTTAACTGTCCGGAGGAAACTGGCGCGATTGCGTTTTTTTCATAAGATATTTTTTCACAATCCATCAATGAAGCGAGACCTCATTTCACAACCGTCATACCACTCATCGCGCATTGATCATCAGCATAAGGTTGCCATTCCGTTTTGCCGCACCAAATTCTTTTCAGCAGCCTTCTTACCGAAAACAGCCGCCGATTGGAACCACCTTCCCTCTTCCGTTGTATCAATAACAGACCCTTTGTTATTCAAGACTGCAATTTCTCAGCAATGCTTGTAACTATACGCAGTCTCCATTATCTATCTTTGTCTTGTATGTGCTTGAATTCTTATACATTTTTAGTTGACTTATGTTGCCTTCCTGATTTGCGCATATGATACTTGTTTTTTTATTTTGTCTTTTTTCTTGTGTGTTATATATGTTGTACCCACCCCCTCTGTAATGCCCTACGGGCCCTGAGGGTATTCTAATAAATAAATAAATAACCCTATTTTTGCCTTATGACTAATAACGCTATCGCTATAAGCAGTATTTCAATACTATAGTATGCGAAGACAGTTCCTTACGTTGATTGTCAGAGCAGTTGCTTGCACACTTTTTTGTTTTCACTTTTCTATACCTGAATGGTTCTGACGCATTTCGTAAAACACAGTGCAATCACTGAATGTGTGCACGTTGAGCTACTGCGCTGGATGACCATTTTCATGTGTAAATGAATAGAGAGTTATAGTATACCGGGTTTACCGGGTCACCGGGTGTACCGTGATACCAGAATAGAAGTGCGCATGGGCAGATACGTACGTCACCAATACAGCTTCCTGTACGCACGATATTTTTCAGGTTTCACGTTACCGTGGTAGCGCAGGTGTAGGTCGTGTTCGTAAACATGACGTCGCACTCGGACGCCCACTTCGAAGTGATTTTGGCGTAGTTGTTGTAAGATTCACATTGTACGCCACAAACGACTGTTCAAAGTGGCTTCGCTTGCCTTCAGTTAGCTTCGATGACCAATTATTACGGCTAAGTTGGTGTAGTTTTTGAGATAGCTTTGCATTTCTAACGCGCCTAGGCCGAACTACAAGATCGATGTAAACAAATCGGCAACGTAGATAATTTCGCGTTTGGTGCGTGGTTCATATTTAGTAACTTTTATTATTGCTAAAATAAGCTTCTAACTGTGGTTCGTGTGGTGGCATAGGCAAACATTCTCGTTTTCTTTTCATTTTCACTGTTTAACTTTATAACCATCTAATAGGTGGCGCCACCATGCCAGCTGGGGGCACGTAAACCACGTAAACGATATTGCGCTAAACTATAGGACGCTGCCCACAACGAACGTTTGCTCCACGGTAACACCATTTCCTTAACCTACGCTATCACGCTAACGCTAAACTCTAACTGTCTGATAAGGTGAAAGAGACGTTATGACACCACGCACACGCAAGGACATACCAAGCATAAATACAGGCTGTAAAGCGTCAGTACATTAGTGTCTTGAGTCGTTGTAACAGCATTCATAATATCATTTGATAAGAAACCCAGTCCAAACCACCACCATTACTTTCCCTTTTTCTTAACAAAAGTCTGTCCTTGTTTTGTTCTCCAACGTATCGTCATTGATCTGGTGATCCAGGAGAAGGCGCCGGATCTGTTGCCCGTGATCCTCCAAAACTGGGACTTCCTGCCCCTTTGGATGCATTCGCTGGCACCCATGGACCGCGTCTTCAGGCGCCACCTAGAGCGCGTGCCTTTCTGCCAGGTTTTCCTCAACGAGATGTCTTTCATCTCAGATCCTCACGTGGACGAACTGCCGCCTTACGTGCCCGATGCGTCTCCATAGAAGGACGTCATCTGTTTGCGGGCGCACGTTTCTCTAGACGTGCGGCTGTCTTTAAATACAATGAACTGAATTTCGACGAATGATATTGCAGGTAGACAGTTTTGTTGCTGTCTTCATTGAGAGCCTTCGTGTGACAGAACACTTACACGAGAGCAGCGTTTGTATAATGAAGTAATGAAGCCATTGCAAATATATTTATGTAGTATGTGAAGCCACAATGAAGATTTTTTCAGCGTGCGAGCCTATAGTATATCGAAATAGCTCTTTTTCTATAAAAAGAAAATGAAATTCATCTAATGGCGCATCAAACATTTTGTTTATTTTCTATGGGTGAACTTGTACGTGCTTTAGTACATGCTGGGCACATTGAGCTCATAGGTCTTTTTTGAAGCAGCCCATAACTATGAATTGATGTGCCTACTTTACAGGGCTTTAGAGATTGGAATTAAATCCACTAGCATTCTATTTGCTCAACAACTACACTTGGAAGCAAGTCGAAAAAGAAAGATGAAGAGGAACTACATCTTTGCGCGAATAGCCATCCGGCGAGTTGATTCAATGTTTAAAATTTTTACATACACATTGCGGATGCTCGGATGTGAAGTTCGTGTAATTGCACCATCTCGATCACACAATATATCAACGGCACCGTTCTTCAAACTCCTGGCTTTTACATTTTTCTTCTCTGCCATGCCACTTTTACAATCTTCACCATATGAAAATCATTCAGTTGGAATAAACGTACTTCCTCCCAACACAGAAACAATATCACAGCATATGCTCAGAGTGAATTATGATGAGTGAGGTGAAGCACTGGAGGGTTTCAACGCTAAACCATGAACCATCTGGGAATATTACCTCTACATTCTCAATGACATAGCAAACACTGTAGATATTTTTACAAGAAATTTTAATATTCCTAAGGGGTAGCTATACGTCGCTTCTGTTCCCCCTTCATTGTAAAGGTTCCATGGTCAATGAAGTAGTGGATCGGCGATGGGGCATAGTAGGAAAGTTTCAAGTACGAAGTAGAGGGCAGTTTGCAAAGGTGGAACTATAGGCGGTCATGTACAACAAGCTATAACACAGTGGTACAATCTGTGGTTCTTTAATGCGAACCTGGATACAAGTACACGACCACTTGGCATTTCATATAGGCTACTTCTGAACAGTACTTGCTTTATGATCGTTAAAGTGCTGTATCGGTGATGGGGTGTAGTGGGATGTTTGCAAGAACGAAGTGGTGGGCAGTTAGCAAAGCAGGAGCTATAGGCGGTCACGTAAATACATAAATACATACATACATACATAAATACATACATACATACATACATACATACATACATACATACATACATACATACATGCATGCATGCATACATACATACATACATACATACATACATACATACATACATACATACATACATACATACATACATACATACATACATACATACATACATACATACATACATACATACATACATACATACATACATACATACATACATACATACATACACAGCCCCGCCACGGTGGTCTAGTGGTAAAGGTAGTCGCTGCTGAATCGCAGATCGTGGGCTCAAATGCCGGCTGTGGCGGCTGCATTTCCGATGGAGACGGAAATGTTGTAGGCCCGTGTGCTCAGATTTGGGTGCATGGTAAAGAACCTCAGGTGGTCGAAATTTCCGGAGCCCTCCACTATGGCGTCTCTAATCATATAGTGGTTTTGGGACGTTAAACCCTACATATCAATCATCAATCAATACATGCATACGTACAAGAGAGGGACAACCCAGGCCTTTAGGAGCTTCGCCCCTAAAATATTTCAGAAAAAGAAATCTGTGGCTCTATCCGCGCTAACGTACGAGAAAGTCATGGTGTGTAGCCATCGCATCATCATGCAGTGCATCCAGAACTTCTGGACTTAGCACCGATGGTACTACGATGAGGTAGTTGGACTGATGTGGTGAGAAATGTTTCGCTGGCGAGAATACTGTACCGCAAAAAAAAAACGACACCTAGTCGTCGCTTGAATACCTTTAGAACAAAGGCACCTTTGCCCATGCTGGTATTTCACAACAACCTTGATTTCAGGGTCCACTCGCACTCGTTCGGCCGTATTATCGACGCTTAAGGTTCCCAAGGACGTAGTCATTGTCCTCGTCATCCTGCGCTGCTGTATCAACGGAGCATGAAACAGGCAGTCGGCGTCGGAATGCTTTCGTCCGGACTTGTAAATGACGGTAATCGTCGAATTCTTGCAGTCTTAAGCTCCATCGTGCGAGACGACCTTAAGTGTCCTTCAAGATGGCTAACCAGCAGTAGGTTTGATTCTAGCTCACAACATTGAAGGGCCTTTCATAGAGGTAATGGCGAAGCTCTGACGTAGCCTAAATGATAGCGAGGCACTCATTTTCTGCTGTGAAATAGTTGCTTTGTGCCTTCGATGGCGACCTGCTAGTATAACTGAAAACACCTTGTTCTCTGTTTGTCTTTTGCACAAGAATGGCACCGAGACGTAGGCCGCTTGCATCAGCGTAGATTACTATCGTATTCGTCGAAGCGTGCAAGTACTGGGGTTGGGGGGGGGGGGGTCTGCAGGCGTCGTTTCAGTTTTGATTGATATGTGGTGGCGGGGTTTAACGTCCCAAAACCACCTTATGAATATTAGAGATGCTGTAGTTGAGGGCACCGGAAATTTTCCCCTCCTGAGATTCTTTAACGTGCACCCATATCTGAGCACACGGGCCTACAACATTCCCGCCTCCATCGGAAATGCAGCTGCCACAGCCGGGATTTGATACCGTGACCTGCGGTTCAGCAGTCGAGTACCTTAGCCACTAGACCACCGCGGCGGGGCGCGTTATTTCATGTTTCTGGAATGCTTCAACTTGCGTCGTTCTTCACTTGAATGCGGCGTCGGTGTTCGTGCAGCTGCGTTAGTAGCTCGGTGATGTGTAAGAAATCATTCACGAAGCGTCTGTAATAAAAGCGCACAAGTCAAGAATTCGATATACCGCCGTATTCTTGTTAATGGGTGGTGGAAACACAGCAATCACACCTGTTTTTTGGCGTGTCTGAGCGCACTTCAGTTTTACGGATCACGTTGTGCAAAATGAAGGGTTTCCTGTTCGCGAAGTGGCGCTTTTCTAGTTTCCGGTTGAGTCCGGAGCAGCCTGATTGCTTCATGCGAGAATTCAAGGCGCTGGAGGTGTTCGTCAAAGCTCGAGGCAAACAACGACGTCGTTCAGGTAAACCAAGCAAATATGTCACTTCAAGCTAGCCAGGACTGTCTCCATAACTAGTGTGGAAGTCATAGGTGTCGAGCAAAATCTAAAGGGCATGACTCGAGCTCAATGAGGCCTTCCCATGTTCTGATCACCGTCTTTTCTCTCTTTCGTCGACATTGATTTGTCAATGACCGGTCTTGGGGTTCATTGAAAGAAGTACCTCGCATTGTAGAGTCGATGTAGGGTGCCATTCATCTGTGGGAGTGCGTACACGTACTTCGCTGTTTTGTTCTGATTGTCGATGCAGAAGCGTAGTGTTTCGTCCTTTTTCTTCGCTAACACCATCGATGCCGTAATGGATTCTCTGAAGGCTGAATGATGCCATCACGTAGCACTTCGTCCGCTTGTTTCTTTTTGGCTTCACGTTCTCGCGTCGAAACTGCACGGGATCTGATGGGGTGACCTAGCGCTTTCTTCTGTTATGGTTCCCTGCTATACGGCAAGGGTCTGTCGAATTCTCTATGTCGAAAAAAAGAAGTTCGTGTACTTCAGCAGCAGGTTTCTGAGCTTTACTTGTTTATCCATTGGAAAGCACGGATTAACGTCAAAAGCTGGTTGAAGGGCTTGAGTCGCCGGAGCACATTCTGTAGAATTGACGATGGAGAAAGCGTTGCTGGCCTGCAGCATTTATTTGATGTGCGCAGCCGTCATGCCTTTGCTCAAGTGCTCATACTCGTTGCTGAAGTTCTTGAGCATCGTTCCCTTCAAGCAACTCGACTATTCCTCAGGCGACACAAAATTCGCAGTTCATCAACAGGTGCTGATCGCCTTTAACGACGCCTTGCATTTCTGTTGATTTTTCAGTACTTACGGGAAAGCTGACGCTGAAGCGTAGAGGAATGGTGACTTGGTCTATTAGCACATTCCAAGGAGAAACAATAACAAAATTGCGGGAGTGGAAGCTCCCGCAGTGCCTTGCCAGCGGAAGAGAAGCCAGCTTTTGCCTCTACCAAGATGGCGGAAACATGCTCTTCTCTGGCAGTGCCCACTTCAAGATCAAGTGGCTTTGATATTTTATCGTATATGCTACGTTGGTTCTATAATAAAAGATAGTTCTTCCAGACGAAATAACAAGCATCAACAAGTATGGGTCACTGAAGCCCGAACGAACTTTGCCTCCGATTAGAGGCTTACTAATGAAAACTAGTAACACTAAAACGCACTTGGAGAACTATGTGACCCGAAAAAGTTTCCACATCAAACTCGTTGGGCGTGCGAGGAAAACGCTCCTCTGTTTTGTGTTGTGATCCATTTGGCGTTTGAGTCTTCAACGTGACCAGCATTCCGGTGGCGTCACTGGCGGGTGTCCACACGCGACTTTGCCAGCCAGGGACCTTGAGGCTTGATCCCATCGTCGTCGGCCCCTGCCGGGACCAGCGAGGAGGGCGTCGAGGCCGGCGTTGCTCACCCTCAAGGCGCACTGTTTCAACTTCACCGTCCCGGAGCGAACAGCGTCCGTCGAGACATCATCGATGGCTTCGAAGACGTCATAGAGAGTGAAGGGTTGCTAATTTTGCAACACCTCAGAGCTTCGAAGTTCCTAGTAGGGGCTTGGTCCACAGCGCAAGCAACCAAGTTGATGGTAAACCAAGGTTCAAGTTACAAGGTCACGAGGTACAAGTTGAAGCAGTCGGGGCGCCAAGTGTGCAAGTCAATGTGTTTCGCCTCTCACCATACGTGCTAGATGACGTAGTTATTTCAGCT